TGTCTCTCTCTTCCTGTCTCTTTCTCTCTCTCTTTCTCTCTCTCCTATCTTTCACAAAAACTCTCTTTTTTCTCTATCTCTCTCTCTCTTTCTCTCTCCTTTTCTCTGTCCATATCTGTCTTCTTTTTAAATTTTGAATAATTTTTATCAATATTTTTCTGTTTATAAGTTTTTTTGTTTGAACATTTACGTCACTGGTGGCGGTAAAATATTTTTCAAAGTTGCTGATGCTGTTATCAACAACAATAAGGGAAATGATGAGAGTAATGAGGATAAGTTGTTGATAATGCTGCTGATGAGGTTGTATATTTGATGATGATGATTATTTGATGATGATGGTGATAAAAATAATAAATACAAAAAACCCAAATACATAAACAGTTATAAGGATGTTGGAATAAGATTAATTGAGAAATATGCCCGTAGTGCGTGTATATGATGATGCTTGGAATGATGATGAGGAAAGCGATGTCATACGTGATGACGGCTCCGACTTGACTTTAATTTGTCATGTAAACAAACAGATTGAAACGATGGAGGCAGCTTCTTTGGACACGCTAACAAACAACTGCACACAAACAACTGTACACAAACAACTGTACAGAAACAAACATACAAACAATTGTTTGTAAACAAATGAACATAGATACGTAATCGTACAACTTTTGTTTTTATACACAATCAGTCAATTACACTCAAAAGTCCAACTGTGAATTAATTAAGTCTTTAAAACGAGACACAAACGAATAACACACTCTTTTAAACACACACACACACATACACGCACACACACACATACCAAGAAACAAACTCATACGAAATTACACACACGGAAACACGAAGGGAGGAAGATTTCAAATAGTCTTTCACATCTCAAGAGATCCGACAGCATCAGGTTATCATAAAAATTATGAGGCCAGTTATAATAGAACATTCGCACATTCAGCTGCAAGTAAATGCACACACACAAACATACATAAACACATGAACAAACTTACATTTTACGCACACAAACCAACTAACCTACCCACACACACACAAACACACACACACGCACACACAAACACACACACGCACACACACACACGCATACACACACATACAGGCACACATGCACAGGCAAACACAAGCAAACATTAAACGCTACCATTCATACACGCTCAGCAAACGTTAATAATAAAAAAAATCATACATCAATTGCGAACACACACGGCCAGACAAGCACACGCACGAACACGCACGCACAGAAACACACTGACAAATAAGCAGACATACTCGCGCAAAAATAGTAGCAGGCAAAAAGACGCACGCACATTCTGAGCACGTACATTAAACACATTTCAGCACAATCGATCATTGGCTTAAGAGCGTTTATCCGACAGTTACACCGTTATGATGGTCTTCTCTTCCACTTCATCATCATCGTCATCATCATCATCATCATCATCTTTTTCTTCATCATCATCATCGATGTTGCTACAATGTTATGATAACAGTAACAGCAAAATTTGTACAGTAGCTGTTGTTACAGCTAACTAACCTTACAACTAACCTTAAAAATTAATTCAACGATAGTAACTGCAACACTCTAGATGATATCATTCGTTAATAATTTATTTTCAGTAATTTGGTATATCTATAACGACTTCATCATAACATCGTAATTGCGTAATAATACTACTACTACTACTAATAAATTATGTGTAGCTTTCTAATTGCTGGTTAACTAAAATGTATGCGTGAGAGTGATATAGTTCAATTCTTAACGGCAGTTCGACAATCCTTTTAGAAGGTAATGTTAAGTAATTTTTCACTCACTCAGCCGGCTAGTGTAAATTAAGTATAAATTACTAATTAAGTTAATTAGTAATTTTTTGTAATTTTTAACGATTATTTGACAATCTTATTAGTAAATAACTCATCATACTTTCTCACAAACCCAGCCAGCCAGCCAGCCAGCCAGCCAGCCAGCCAGCCAGCCAGCCAGCCAATCAAAATGAGTTAATAATACAACGCAATAAAATACAATAGAGCGTTTAACCTTTGACCCGATTTCGAGCTGGATTTATGACGCTGAAGTGTCGTCTGCCCGTTTCTCTCAATGCTCTTGTTAACATCAACTCTCTCACTCTTTCTTTCTCTTTCACTCTCTCTCCCTCTCTCTTTCTTATTTTCTCTCTCTCTCTTCTTTACATATATAGTGTCATCTCCTGATGATGATTAGGAAGAGGAGGAAGATAGTTGTTGTGGTGATGATGATAATGATGATGGTGGTGGTTGTGGTAGTCTGATTTGTTGATTGCTTAATGGGGATGATGATGATGATGAGGATGTGATGGAAGTCATTGTTGGGACCGCGCGTAAAGTTTCGAATATAATTTGAGCTTTGCTCAGCGTGCATTTGAAGAAGGTCGCCACGCATAACTGAAGTAAAACACAGATACTCTCCTATCTTAGCTAATACATTAACGACTATCGTTTCAATAATTTTATTACCAACAAAATATGTTTCAGCAATAAAAACAGCAATAAAATTATCCTAAGTAGCATCATCACCAGCTATAAAAAAAAACTTACTAATGTGATACTGACAAATCATTCACATTTGCACGCACACAGACAAATGCACGCACACACACAAAACACTACCTACCACACAGCGTTATTCATACGGACACGCATAAGCACGCACACACCACACCACACACACACACACACATACATACATACTAACAAATATTATAACAAAAATATGTATTAATAAGAACATTCTCACACGCTCCGTCTCACAACTGTTATAAACAAGAACCCACACACACACACACACACATACACACACACACACACTCACACTCATACAAAATAACACACAAACATACACACACACACACACACGAAACCATCGCAGCCTGATACGAAACAAACTGACTCAATAAATCAAAAAAAATTAAAATCTTCCATCCTATGTTTAATTATATCAATAATAATAACGATCCCCATGTTCCCATGTGATTTTTTAATGAGTGATTTTATTATTTCGAAATAATAATTATAATAATTATTATAGTTATTATTATTATTATTACATGTATTTCTTTTACTAATTATTATAGTTTCGTCATCGCCTTTATAACCGAACATGACAGGCTAATGGTATGGGTGAGATTATTGTTTTTATTATTGTTAATTATTATTTATTATTATTATTTTTTTTTATTATTATTTATAATTATTATTATTACCATTATTATAATCGTCATAATAATACTAATCGTCATCATTCATTAATCTGATGATTTTAAAATTAGCTCCCATAGCTTCGACTTTATGATCGATATGCCAAGTCTAATGCAAACAATAATTATATCAACAAATAATAATAATAATAATAAATAATAATAATAATAATAACAATAAAATCGCTAATGCATATTATTAAGGAGAAAGTTTAAAAAAAGTCGGATTCATTCTGTAGAAGTTATTGATTTCCTTTTTGAAATATTTTTCGTTTTTACAATTTTTTTTTCCGATCCATTCATTTCATCTAAGGAGGATTGTCATTATATCTGAGAGATATTATTTACAACAATTCAAATGCCTAAGATAGTTGAGTGCTGCGAGTCTGGGATAAACATTTTAAATAAAGATAGATAGAGGGAAAGAGAGATAGAGATGGAAGGAGAGAGTGTTTGTGGGAAAGAGAGGAGAAGAAGAGAGTGACAGAGAGAAAGAGAAAGAGAGAGTGAGAGTGAGAGAAAGAGAGAGAGAGATAGTGAGAAAGAGAGAGATAGGGAGTGAAAAGAACTAGACACCACAAACACTGACATAGAGGGAAAGATAAAATTGAAGAAAATTTGTAAAATTAAATGAAACATAAGAGAGATAAGAAGAGGCGAGAGATAGAGAGAAAAAAAAGAAAAGAGGCGAGAGAGAGAGAAGATGTTTAAGACGAAATAATTGAATTAAATCATTCAAGTGTGAATGAATTAATAATGATAAGCCTCAAGTTTAAAAATTTTATTGAGGAATTAACCAACAACAATAACTAACAAACAAATTCAATAACAAATAAAAATAATTAATAATACTCACATACATACACAGATATATATCAGACATCCATGTATACGTACATCATTTCAAAGTTGATACACGTTTCATCACATTCTTTACTGATGTTGATGAGAGTTCATCATCGTCGTCATCATCACCTTCATCTCATCAGCGTTCTCGTCGTCGTCATCATCTTCATCCTCTTCTTCATCATCATTAACAACAGGACCACCAGACATGGAAAAATTATTGCTCATGATGACAATGATTGATGTCACACTGACGACGACGACGACGATGATGATGGCGTTGTTCTTGATAATGATGATGATAATGGCCACAAAACTGATAGTATAATGATGATAGCTATTTAATTATAATATATCACACTGTAAAACGTTGATGGTATTAAATGTAATATATTAACATTACAGAAGTATTAATCATGTTAAAACATTATTAAATGCAAAGAGATAAAAGGCATAGATACAAAGACACATACACAAAAAAAACACGAAACATAGATACAAAGATACAAAAACCGATACAAATACATACAAAACATACAAAACGCAGAGACACAATTATTCCTAGACATACTTTCCATCTTTCACGCCGATTGCAACATTTAGTTCTGGGTTTTACATTTCTTCAAGTGCTACTTCAACTGACGGACCTCTGTGTCTGTCTGAATAATTTTTTAACTCTTTTTTCATTTTAATCATTATTTTCATTCTTATTTGGGCAATTTTTAATATATAAATAATAATAATATTAATAAATAAATGAATCTTGGGGACAATAGTTTGTATATAACAAACACACACACATATACTTACATAAAAACACACAATACACACACACACATACATGCACACACACGCACGCACACACACACATACAAACAAACAAACAAACATCTAAACAACGTACAAGCAAAGACCGATTCATATTAACATTAATTGATGTCAACTCATTCTACATGCTTGTTCATAGAACCATCGAATTTATTAACGCTAACTTCTTGCCAAACGC